TAAAAAACAAGATAGCAAGCAATCATTTGCCTTTTGCAAGCAGTAAGGCAAAAGTCCTCGACTTCAGGAGGGCTGACTTCAATGAACTAAGAAGATTAGTAGGAGAGGCATTGGGATCTTGGAGCTTCAGTGAGATGGGAGTCCAAGACGGGTGGTTGTTCCTCAAGGAGACAATCCTCCGAGCTCAAAGGGAGTCGGTCCCAGGGCTCACCAAGGAGGCGAGGAGTGCTAAAAAAAAAAAAACAAAACCCATGGCTCGGCAAAGGCATCCAGGAGCAAAGGCATCCAGGGATTGCTGACGGCAAAAAAGGAGGTGTACAAACAGTGGAAGGAAGGGGCTATCACCAAGGAAGATTACACCTCCATTGCTCGGGACTGCAGGGAGGCTGTTAGGAAGGCCAAGGCAAAGATGAAGATAGGGCTAGCGACCAGAATTAGGGATAACAAAAAGTCCTTTTTCAAATACATAGGTAGTAAGAAGAAGGCATCAGGTAACGTGGGGCCCCTACAGGACAGGCTTGGCAATCTGGTGATTGAAGCAAACGAAAAAGCTGACCTCTAACGAATTCTTTGCCTTCATATTCCTGGACAGGGACTGGGACATTTCCCCCACTATGATTATGGAAGGACCCAGGGGAGGCACCGCCATGCCTAGGGTCAGGGACGACCTAGTTAGGGAACTTTTGGAGGGGCTGGACGTGTTTAAATCATTAGGTCCAGAAGATCTTCAGCCGAGGGTGCTGAGGGAATTGTTGGGGGTCATAGCAGGGCCCCTGGCACGGCTGTATGAGTGCTCGTGGGGCTTTGGCCAGATACCAGAGGATTGGAAAAGGGCCAATGTGGTCCCCATTTTCAAGAAGGGGAGAAAGGAGGACCCCGGCAACTATAGGCCAGTGAACCTTACCTTGGTCCTTGGGAAGACCTTTGAGAAAATCATCGAGGAGCACATCTGCAAAGGCCCAGCAGGGGAGGTAATGCTCAGGGGCAACCAACATGGGTTCATTGAGGGCAGATCCTGCCTGATTAACTTGGTTTCCTTTTATGATCAGGTCACAAAGTCCCTGGACAAGGGCATAGAGGTAGATGTCGTCTTCCTGGACTTTTAAGAAGGCCTTTGACACTGTTTCCCACCATTTTCTCTCAAAAAAAAAACCTAGGCGACTGCAGCATTGATGACTACACAGTCAGATGGGTGGCAAACTGGCGAGATGGTTGCACCCAGAGACTGGTGGTGGACGGGTCGTTTTCAACCTGGAGGGATGTGGGCAGTGGAGTCCCCCAGGGCTCCGTCCTGGGGCCTGTACTGTTCAACATCTTTATCAGCAATCTGGATGTGGGTGTGGAAAGCACACTGTCCAGATTTGCTGACGACACCAAGTTATGGGGCGAGGTGGGCGCACTCGAGAGGAGGGGCAGAATCCAGCTAGATGTAGACAGGTTACAGAGGTGGGCGGATGAGAATAGGATGGAGTTCAACACAGACAAGTGCAGGGTACTGCATCTAGGCAGAAGGAACCATCAACACACCTATAGGCTGGGGAGCTCCCCTCTTGTTAAAACAGTGGCAGAAAGGGATCTTGGAGTCATTGTGGACTCCAGGATGAACATGAGCCGCCAATGCGAGGAAGCAGTCGGTAAGGCTAACTGCACCTTGTCGTGCATCTACAGATGCATCACAAGCAGGTCTAGAGAGGTGATCCTTCCCCTCTATGCAGCATTGGTCGGGCCACAGTTGGAGTACTGCGTCCAGTTCTGGGCGCCTCACGTCAAAAGGGATGTGGCTAGCATTGAGAGAGTCCAGAGAAGGGCCACTCGCATAATCGGGGGGCAGCAGGCCAGGCCCTACGAAGAGAAGCTGAAGGGCCTGAATCTATTCAGCCTCCACAAGAGAAGGCTGAGAGGGGATCTGGTGGTCATTTACAAACTCAACAGGGGGGACCAGCGAGAATTGGGGGAGGCTCTGTTCCCTCAGGCACCACCAGAGGTTACTAGGAATAACGGCCACAAATTGTTAGAGAGAAGGTTCAGGAGGATATCAGGACATATTACTTTACAGTTAGGGCTGCCAGGGTCTGGAATGGACTCCCAAGGGAGGTGGTGCTCTCTCCTACCTTGGGGGTCTTCAGGAGAAGGCTGGATGGATATTTGGCTGGGGTACTATGACCCCAGCACTTGTTCCTGCCCAGGACAGCGAGTCAGACCTGATTATCTGTTTAGTTCCCTTCCAACCCTAAGCACTATGAAACAGATAGAATTTGATTTTCCAGTTTTCTGTAAAGATTGTTACTGCTCAATGATTTTGCAGTGTTTTGCCTTAGTAGGCTCAGGACATCTTATAAGTTTCAGTGAATGTAAATATTTTGCACCCCAGATGTACAGGATTGTTGACTTTTTTTTAATTAAATCATTTTTTCTTGATGGCTATCTCCATCTGAAACTTCACGAAATGCAGAGATAATAGCTCATCCTAGAACCGCTATGCTTCCTTGACAAGCATAATACTGGCTTGATGTGATACGACATGGCATTCAGATACTGTTTTGTTGAATATATATATAAAAGAAACAAACTCTTAGGCTAGGGACAGACATTACACATAAACCAGTTTAAGTAATCAGAAACTGGTTTAAACCTGAAACAGAACAGATGTTCAGTGCACATAAACCACTTTGAAAATGGCTGAAACTGGTTTGAGATAAACCTGGTTGAATGTAATATCAGACTTAACTGATTTGGGTCAGACTGGTGTATGAAATGTCTGCTCCAGACCTCTTACTGGTTTAAGTTAAACCAGACTCCCCAGCATCCCAGCATGCTCTCTGGGCTAGGCGGGGCTCTGATCCACAGAAGAGCTGGCCCTTCCCCTCTGCTCCCTGGCTGGAGCTCTGGCAGAGACTGCAGGCGATGTGGCATATGGGGCAAAGGCAGATAGGACTGTGTCCTTTTTGAGCTAATCAACAGGTAGCTGGTAATGTCCCTACTTGGAATGTTCCCTTTCTTGGAAAAAGTTGTTTAAGAGCAGCTTGAACTAATGAGAGGGGCTTTGTTTTCTGATGGGGTGTTAAATGCTGATAACAAAGCTGATAAATGCTCTGTTATCAAGAGGGGGAAACCACTCCCTAATCAAAGCATCCTTCTGGGACCTGGCCATGCCCGCCCTCAGCTCAACACTGTAGAATAGAAGGGAGGGCTGCTCTAGCACCACCCTCTTCCCCCCAAGCTTCTAGCCTGAGCCACTGCAGGCATGTGCCTGCATTTCTGGGATGCCTGTACAGTTACAAACCAGCTTAGCCTTGCCAGGTTAGACTAACCTGCAAAGATTGAATCAATTCAGGCTCAGGCTTTTTGAATGTCCCTAGCCTTAAAGTTGGCTAAACTAAGCTTCTGTCAACAATTTTTGGATGTGGGGGAGGAGGAAGGGATTCCATAAATTTCATTTCTTCAACAGCTAACAAAATCCAGTGTTTCAGCCAATAAAGCCTTTGTTCCTGATGAACATGTTGGCTGAAATATTACAATTTTTTACTTTTCTTTGTTTCTTTTTTTGGCTATCAAAGAAGTAACAGTTATACAAAGTAAACATTATGAAACAATCTTCAGAAAATTTAAAATATGTGAATGCTTTCATTATTGTCTCACAGGTGTTTAACTTGATCTAGATGTTGATTTTTTTTTTTTTAAACTATAATTTCCATGCTGCTGAGTATATCTTCTTGACTTTTGCCAATGTAGTTCCTCAGCTGTCCCCCATCTCTGCTCAGGTGATGATGCAGTGAAGTAAAGCTTATCTAGGTGCATGGTTGTTCTGGGACCATACAGCATTGGAGGAGCATGCCAGGAAAGCACCCTTCTGACTTCCCTATACCCTCTGGAGCACCTCTGTAATTCCCCTCCCATGAACTAGAATTTGAAGAGGTGGCTGTGCCAATAGAGAGAACCCTTTACTCAGACAATTTTTGGCCTCTTCTATGCCTCATACTTAAACTGGAGAAATCCTAGGCCATTAACTGTTAAGAGTATTATATACACTGGGGCTGCTTTGGACTCTGCTAAAATGAGAAACAAGTGTGCACTTTGCAGGGTCTGCCAAGTAACAGTTTTAATAGTAGTACTTAGGATTTCACATCCTCAAAATCCTGTTAGTGTCAGCTAATACACTAATATGTTAATGACTATCTTGTCTGCTTTTTGTACTTCGTTGTGTGTTTTAGAAAAAAAATGACTCCAGCATGACAAATTTCAGAAATACTGCTCAAAATTCTAAGATTATTTTTAAACATTAGACTGGAAAAAATGAACTAAGCTGTGATTAAAATGTAAAACAGCAAAGTTGTACTTATATAACCAATTTTATGAGAAGCTGTTGATATTAGTTTATACCATATTTCTTGATTCCTCTTTGAGTGAGTATTAGAATGACAAGCAAGTATGGGTAAATAGGATCAAGCTTCCTTGCAGGGATACAGTATGTTCTCATATGAAGATCATTATATTTATTATGCTACAGTAGTGCTGGATGGAGTCTCTGGAGATGGGTAGTTTTAGCATGCAGAGGCTTAGCCAGAAACCATGCTGCACTCTTTCATTTTCTGGCATCTGTCAAACTATAGTGTATCAAAGATTTTTTTTGTTTGTTTTAAATCATGAAATGTGAAAATTTTTAACTCAGTTTCTCAAATGCTATTTAAATCTCTTTATTTCCTTCTCCTATCTTAATGTTATTCATTGAAATACATATAACAGAGCTGGGTAACAAGCAAACAGTATGTGCAGGAGATAACTACTTATTCATTATTCAGTTGATTTTTTTGCTTTTTGCCTTAAAGTTGCACATGTCTATGGTTTGCTATAATTTTAGTGAGTATTCTTTTAATGATTAAAATGAAAAAATTAAACCCATGACATCTTTTCCTCTTAAGAATCAGAAGAAAGTTGTTCACTTCTGTATAGAAGGAGCTATAATTTAATCATTATTTTATTCCTTCTTAATGTTTTCTTAGGACTCAGCCAAAAACGGTTTTTGCAGAAGTGGAGCAAGAAGAAGATGAAACAGACAACAAACCAGAATGGAAGAAACGTAAAATTTAAATACCTTGGTTTGAAGGAAGATGACACAGGATTTGAGACAAAGTAGAGAGATATTTTTGCTGTGCTCCAAGAGCTTACATTTTTACAAATAAATTCTTGTAATACATTGATCTGCTGTTTGCAACTAAAAGATGATTGTTACACTGAGATGCATTGGAATTGTTAATCTGCATTTTGCAAGAAGGAGGTAATTATATTATATAACAAGTTATCTATCAGTTTCTTAGTTTTATGTTTTGATAGAAAAATATTTGTGCTCATAATGTATAACCAGAAGAGATCATCTGGTTAATCAACGTATTTCCATAAAGATCCTTTTAATTAATGCTACCATTTGAGATGTGATATCATAAGGATTTTAAGTAAGAAAATAAAAGGTCTGTAGTTTCTCAGTCATCTTTTATTCATTTCAATAACACCTAGTATGCTGCACAAAAAATAAGTCATGGATTAACATTTTTTAGGCATACCATTTTAAAATAATTTACAGATGTCAGATTTGTTTAGCTGATGTGCTAGTTTTCTCAAACTTTTTTTGCGTTTACATTTTATTTGAAAGATTTTTCTATTGAATTTGTGCAATCTCACAATTTTTTTAGTAATAAAGATTTTATTTTTAAGTCATATTGAGTAGGACTGCACAATTACATTTTGTTTAAAAATATTGTGCGTTGATTTTCTTTTGCTAATGTTACATGGCTAGAAACATTAAAATAATGTTTGTTCAGGCCTCCAGCCCTATTCCTATGTACTGACAGGCAATAACCCCTTACAGAGAGTATACATATGTTAGGCAGTATACACATACCATTATGCTTATGGTGTTCGTAGGCTGTGTACATACTGGCTGCCAGTTTCTTTCTGAAGGGCGATACTGATCGTTTTAAAACGGTCATTTCATTGTTGAAAGTTTTAGTTCTTAATATTACGTGTCTGTGGTAAATGTTACAAAGAGGAGAAGGAAAGAGATGGGGTGGTCTTTAGTTTTACGTAATTGAAGCCCAGATTCAGCAAAGCACTGGAGCACGTACTTAACCTTAAGCATGTAGTTATGTCATAGAATCATAGAAAATGTGGGTTGGAAGGGACCCCAGGTGGTCATGTAGTCCAACCCCTTGCCAAAAGCAGAACCATCCCCAACTAGATCGTCTCAGCCAAGACTTTGCCTAGCCAGGTTTTAAAAACCTCCAGGGATGGAGATTCCACACAGCCTTTCTGGGTAACCTGTTCCAGTTCTCTACTACGTTCCTGGTGAGAGAGTTTTTCCCAATATCTAACCTAAACTTCTCTTGCTGCAGCTTGAGACTATTGTTCCCATGTCCCATTGAAGTTGAGGTGTTTGATAGTCCTTTGTACTTTGACAGTGATAGCTTGTTATAATTGCTGCTGCTATTGGATCTTTTTGGTACAAAAGCCCTAACTAGGGGTTACAATTGTGATCACTTGTCCAAAATAACATGAATGGGAAAGAGGGAGAAACAGAAAGAAGGGAGCAGGTAACTGCTAGGAATGGAGGTATGAGTGGAAAGCAAACATAGTTGTTAATTAATAGCATCTAACAAATAGCTCCTTGTGATGTTCCCCACAGCTGGTATAATTCTTTAATAAGCAATTAATGTATATTAAAACATTGTATTAATATGATTGTATTATCTCTCTGAACAAGATTATCCAAGATTTAATTAGTCTTCCTGATCTTTAGTTTGAATGCAGGATAACCTACTGATTTTTAACATCACTTGGAAGTGTTCCATGAAGCCAGAATGGGTTACTACAATGTTAGATAGAGCTAGAGGGGAAAGAGACACAATGGAAAATGCTGCTACTGTTCTCTGAGTTGACAGGAATAAAGAAAAGCTAACACAATCTTCTCTTATGTTAGTTTATCAAGTTAGTGGCCCAAATAATATTATTTAAATTAAGTTACTTACAAACTATTATTTTATTCTTTTAGAAATTGCTTGATATTCTATTTTCTAATTTGTATTTCATGAAAATGTATGTTCATTCTTTCATATTTCATTTGGAATGTTTCACTCCGTTTTAAAAGGTCAAATAATTCCTATTTACAATAATTTATTTCATTATCATCATGTGTGGCCTCAGTTTATCAGGGTACAGCTAGGGGAATAATTTAAAACATCTTTTTGCAATCATTATTCAGGTTTTCCAGACAAATATGCTTTAACTGTACTTGCATTCATATTGGTTTTATTTTTCAGAGACTTGAACATCAAATTTACTGGTAAGCATACTGACCAAAAAAGCAAGTTTTAATATAAACAGATTTTACTCTCTTAACCACAAATAAAATATTGGGAATTTGATAGTAAAGAATGATCCATTTGGGGGAAAGAAACAAACTATTGCCAGTCAAAAAAGCTCAAATTTTGAATGGCAAGTTCTTTCAACAACCATTTTAAGTATTCTAGCAGAAAATAAGTTAAATTAGTTGATTTTTTTGTTATTCTTGTAGAAGGTTTGCCTAGATGTGCTCAAGCCAGAAGGTGCCAAATCCAGATTGGTTTTCTCTAATGTATTCCTACCCCAACGGTACTGCAAAATATGTGGCAAAGTCTGGCAGGTAACTGGATGTCTGTCACAAACCTGTTTGTGACATCACAAAGAGAGGAAGTCTTTTGTCTTAAATAAATCAGGTAGTTTGTCATTCATCATTGGTAGTGAGTAGTGATTTCTTGCAATGTGCTGTGAAGCGGTTTTGGATTGATGAAGAGCTTGAGCTTATCAGGAGGTCATCTCACTAGGCATTTATAGATAAGCGAGGGGGAGGGGAGGCACTTCACTTAGTGAGCAGCGCTAATTAAAAGTGCCCAAGCACCATGTGTATCAGCATCCCCACACTGAAAAAATTCATTGAACAAGCTTTACTTTAAAGCACCCCGCCACCATTTTTCAGCACAGGGACATTGATACACATGACTCTGGAGGCTGCTGGAGCGCAATAATTTCTGTGCTCCAACAGACTCAATTAATCGAGTCTGCTCCAACACACTGGATTTACAGCATGTCGGAGCAGTCTTGCTTTGTCTGTAGGAACTGACTCTTTGTAGGCTGCTTTTCCACTCTGCTGGAGTTTAATGATGCCTCTCTTTTGCAGATTTACCTGTTCTCTCTTCAAAAGGCTTCAACAGAGCTAAAATTTTGGAAGTTTCACAGGCTTCACATGGGCATCTGTTTTTCACCTCTACTTGCTTTGCAGTTGTTCATCCCTTGAAGTACATCATTATATTCTTTTAGGAATGATGGGCAGGAGTGAAGTAATATCATAGGTTAAGGATATTGTGATACTATACTGTGTTCAAATTGATGGCTTGCTGCCTAGTCAGGGTTGGTAATTCTGTGGGCATCTGCTTAAATTCTGGGTAATATCTCAGTTCCTGGGTTTCTTATCAACAGTTTGCCTTTGTCCAGTAGCCTCAGGCTGTTGTACAGCACCAACATTTGGTCACATTTCTCCAGTTTAATACTGCTGCTTGTCAGTCTTGCTGGAATTACATTGCAACTGACTTCATAATGTACCTGGAATCAATTTGGCCATTGATTTAAAGCAGGGGCATCAAAGTCAGATCAGTCAGTGGGCCCATATTTCCTGCCTTACAGGTACCTGAAAGCCATGCCCAATAGTTTTTCACCAAGAATTTTAGCCACTCCATTTAGTTCAGTTTACATTTCGCAACACACCATTTTTGTATATCAATAGCAGCTTTCATTATATATCATTTTTAAAATGTTGGATGTATGAAAAATTATTACAAACAGGCTTCCAGATATGTGAAAAAATTGATTTATTTCCAGATAGTATTTGCTAACAGCTCTTACAGAGAAAATGAAGAGAACATAAGATTAATTAAAAAAAAAAAAAGCATATATATATACACTAACATCTCACAAACAGTATTAGTGCTCACAGACATCTGGCATCTCTCCGCTGCAATCAGCTCCTCAATGTTTGGTTCCAAGGCTGGTGCTGCGGCCACTTTCATAATGCTGCTAAGCCTTGAATGTACTTTTGACTTGTTGATGATCATCAGTGAGATCTGTTCACGCACACGCACGGATAACATCCTTGATGCAAAGGTTTTATATTGTTAGATAATTTTCTCCTACATGTTAGTAAAATTTGTGAATTCAAACTATTGAGAACTATCCTTCAGTGCAGTGTTACACTAAAGGTAATTTGTTACACTGAGTCCCATTCACAACTCTGGAAGAACATCTTACACAGGGACAGAGAACAGAGTACTAAAAATGAACTTAATTCCTGGCTCAGTAAGTTGGAGAACCAGTTCTGGAATCGTGCCCAAGATAAGCAATCTTGACTTTTCCAAGCCCTCACCATCTTCAGTCCCAGCACATGGTGTCATAAAACTTGGTCAGAACCTGATTCCACTCCTGCATTCTTGTGCTCAGAGTATTGAGATGTCCCATTATGTCCACAAAGAAGGCACGGTTGTGCAACCATTGTTCTTGCAGTGCAGCTATGGGTTTCTCTTTCTCGCTCATAAATAATGAATATCACATTATAGTTCAAAGAAGAACTTAAAGACAGCCCCACAACTCAGCCAGTGCACTTCAGCATGATATAGTAGTCCATGATGAAGGTCACCTTCCTCCAAGAGCTAGTTTAATTGCTAATGGGTAAGAGCCCTGATTTTGATGAAATTCAGTGTTTTTACCACAACATTTATCACATGATCTAGAGTTTGAACAAAGAGAGCTTCATGATGCAGCATACAGTGAAAAACACAAAGCTAATGGCCTGGATCAACATTCTGCACTTTGCTCTTGAGTTTCATCACAAGAACTCTGCCTTAGCAAAGAGCTTTGAAGAATCAGCTGGTTCTTGAGAGAGGACATAGCTACCTCTCACTGCTTTGTCATGTGATGTACTTGTGTGATGATAGATTGTTGCTTTTTCAACAACTGTTTTAATTTACTTCATGTAGCTTCCTGGTAAACTTGTCATGGCGCCATGGCATGACTCATAATGTCTCTTAATGTTGTAGTGTTTGGAAACAGGCACTGTTTGCTTACAAATCAAACACATGTGTCTTCCATTTGCTTCTCTGAAGAAGAATGAGGGCCTCCATTTCTCTTGAAACATAATGCACTCCTTGTCCACTTTCCTCTTCACAGACATGATATCTGACTTACAGTTAACACAAATATGAGATGTGACACTTGCCACACTTGCTTATTATGCAGCAGATGACTAATAGCATTGTTGCAAACATGGGCATGAGTCTTGTATTTTCAAATTCTTTTTATTCCAATTACCATATTTACACAATGTCACTTCATGCAATTTCAACTCTTCACTCTCAACTGCTTCTTGTCAACAACAACCCACTGCAATAAACCACTTATACACCA